GGGTGCGGTACAATTTGACAGAAGCAGAGTCACAATTCCCTGCTTGCTCTCTCCTCTTTAGACTTAGGATTTCTGTTTGACTCTTATTTTATTCCCAAGGAATGTGCGTGTATTCTAGACTTTAGCGGCCAGTAAGGTAAGAGACTGCTCAATGGGAATGAGAAATCAGAACAGAGTGAAAAAAGCATTATGGGTTGGTAAAAAACATGGCAGGGCCGTAGTGCATGCCTTTAAACCCAGCACAAGGCAGAGGCAGGTAGATCTGTGAGTTCAAGGCCAGCCTGGTCTACAGAATGAGTTCCAGGACAAAGAAACCCTGTCTTGAAAAAACCAACCAACTAACCAACAAACCAAACAAAAATAAAACTCCACCAAAACTAAACCCAAGGGGAAAAAAATCTGGATCTCATAGAGATTTTTCAAGGAACAATGGGGAGCTTCATAATGACATTTTGGTCATATATATATGCATATGTGATGATGGTCTCATAGATCCTTTCCTTACAAATACCAGAGCTTTCTTGGTTTGTATAATGCACTCTCTAATGTTTCACAATGAAAAAACAAAATCACCTAATGTATGTTTCTCAGAACATATCCCCATCTTTAAGCAATATATGATTATACCAACAAAGCTGGGCAGTGGTGGCGCATACCTATGATCCCAGCACTCGGGAGGCAGAGGCGGGCAGATCTCTGTGATTTCGAGTCCAACCTGGTCTACAGAGCTACACAGAGAAACTCTGCTCAAATAAATAAATAAATAAGTAGATAAATAAATAAATAAACAGTTAGACCAACAAAATAGTGACACTACAGCAGGCAGGGTAGAAGTAAAAATATGGTCAGAGGAAATATGGGGGTGGGAGACATCACTTTAAAAAAGAGATTTAGGAATAACTGGGAAAGATTAGTGATCTTTGACTCGAGGCTCAGGGTTTGGTGAGGACATACGGTACCCAGAGCAATGTAGCTTATGTTTACCAGATCTCTCTGCCAGCAGACTCTAATTGATGAGTCCATGGGAAATGTAGGGCACACTCTATGTTTGACATATGACAAGGGAGAGTCACTAAGAACACAAACCAAAACTTTATTATATAGCTAGGATTTTGTAAGCATCCCCACAGATTGCTCCTCTCAATTGCTAGTGGCAATGGGCTCCCCTCAGGTCAGCTAGGGAACTAGAGGGTTTGAAGTTCCTCCAAAACTTCTTCAGGGAAGGACAAAGAGGCTCAGGCTATCCCAGTAGAGTGAGTCTGGGGCTTTAGCTCATCCCTGTCTTTCTGTGGTATTGGGGAACCCAGGCCCTCATGCACACCGGGTAAGCAGGTATCAAAGGTATTGACTCCTGATGACCTGCCCTGTTCCAGTAAGTTCTGTGAACTCTGGTTTCTCTTGTGTTCTTCACAAACTATCTTCCTGTGACTGCAACATCCAAACCAAACTAAACCTATCTATCCCCCAGCCTCAGAGCAAAGGAGAGGCAAGAAGACAGCTTATTGGTAGCAGAGATACAAAGCTGGCTCTCTGCAGGAGGTCTGCTGGAAGCTTACTTCTTGAGTTTTCTTCCTAGGTATATACAAAATAATATGAGGGAGTGACCGTGAGAGACAGGGAAGGCGATAGGTGTGAATTAAAGTTCCTAGAAAGAAGTTTACACACTGAACATTCTCAGAGGGTGATGGGCTGATTAGAACTTAAATGGTTGTGAAGTTGGAATGCTGCAGGTCTGGTGCTTAATTGCAGTCTATCTTCGGTTTCTTTAGCCCCTTGGATAGCCATTTATGACCTGCCTTTGTGTCTGACTTGACATCTTTCTGACTACCAGATAAGATCTTTTGGGATAAATTAATAGATTATTAGCTTTCATTAACCCTGAAAACTAAGAATGTCATCAAACAGCATCCGTGGCCTTTGAAGTTTTGATTTGTGGCTTTGTTCTGTTACTATAAAAAAAAAATGATGAATGCTGGGCATGGTTTTTCACTCTTTTAATCCCAGTATTTTGGAGGCAGGGGAGGTGGATGGATGTCTTTGAGTTTGAGGCCAGCCTGGACTCTATAGTGAGTTCCAGTCTAGTAAAGGCTACATACATACATATTCAAAATGAACAAACAAAAACCAATCCAAAACAAAAATCCCAAAATAAAACAAAAACCAACCAACCGACACAAACAAAAGCAACTACAAACTTCACGAAGCTGTTACCATGGTGGAACATGGAATGTGGGGTAACCGTGATCTTTTCTGGGTCATAGCCACTCCTATGTGGCCCCAGAGAAAACTTCCCCTGTGTTTTACATCATCACAGGAAGATGTGAAAATTGTCACACACATTCCTGATTATCCCACTAGCCTGGATGTCTTTCCTCTCGCTCTCCAGTCTCATCGTTCTATCTGTCTTCTTTTCTGGCCTGCTTACGGCAGCACCAGTTGCCCCCCTTTTTTCCCATCTCGGTTCTTAGGCTGGTTCCTGTTCCAGGATGTTTTCATTTGTGCTTTCTGAAAGCAGTCTGTCCTTCTCCTGGTCCAGATGCTCTCCCTGGTGTTCTCCAGATGGAGCCACCCTCTACCTTTATGTCTGCTCTTGACAATATTCTTCAAACTCAACACGTCTGGCCCTGGGTGGTAAGAATTTGGGGAAAAGAAGGAAATAGATACAGGGAGGAAAGGAAGTATTGGTGGCTTTGGAGAGGAGGCCAAAGGGGAGTCCAGGGTTGCTGGGGTGGACAAGGACAAAGAGTTCGCAGCTCATCAGCAGCATGAGGTACTGAACTCTACCTTGTCTGCCTCTAATGCTGATGGCACCAGTGATCCAGAACCACGGGGAGAGCCACAGCAGGTCAGGGTGCTCCTCCTCCTTCAGTTCCTTTCATAGTTAGACACGTTTCTGTGATAGGGATAATTCCCTAACTTCCATACAGCCACAGCTCTTTCAATACACCCTGCCAAAGTTCTGACAAGATCATATTAATGTAACCATAGCAGGGCATGGATGACGTGCAGGACAGCTCTGTGTCCAGGTGGCTTGACCAGTCTACAGAGCCCTACCAGCTGTTTCTAGCCTCCAGCTTTTGTTTGGTTTTGCTCAATAAGACATTAGCAAATCAGAGCAAGAAAATAAGATTATGTTAGCACCTTCCTGGTTGGGTCCCTGTAGATCAAGGATACAGCTCTCTGGGCCGGTCCTTTCTAGTTTCTACTAATAGCAAGCTGATTACTCAGCCCCTGGGTATTGCATGTCCCTTGCTTTGTCTGAACTCTGCCCACACACACCTTCCTGAATACCCTCCCATTCATGCTTCCTCAGTTATGCTGTACACTCTCTGAGCTGATCTGGGATTCTAACATACAGGGTGAACATGGGTGTTGGGAAGGGAAAACACAAGGAAGGAAAGACTCTTTACAGAACTTTTTATACAGTTAAAGGAAAGTGACTTTTGAGGCCTCATTGGCTAAGTGATCAAACTAACTTTTCTGAATGCCAGTGTTCCTGGGTTATTACAGGGATAATGTCACTGCTGGAGTTGTGCAAGTGAGGTGTGTGTACAAACAACAGCACAGCACCTGTCATGCTGCAGGTGTTCCCTGCCGAAGCTGGTGCTTTTGGTGCACCCCAGGTTCTCCTGCGTACCTTACTCCCTGCATCAGTGCTGAGAAGACACAACAGGACAGTGCTCCAGGGGAAGTATTTCCCCTCCCCCACTCCTGTTTTTGCTCACCCATTGCTTTCTCATCATTCCCCGTTGTGGAGACTGGATTTAGATCTCTTACTTTTTCAGGAGGGGAACACGACGGGAAGGAGACAAAGACAGAGACAAGAACAATGCAGGAGAGTTTGTTCATGTTAAAGCTGTTTGGGTTATCACACTGGAAATCACAAAGAAGGGGCAAAGTGAGCTTCAGGGCACATCTTTCCTTTCTCATTTCTTCACCAAGTGTGAGATGCTCCAACTAGGCCAGGGCAGGGGAGCAGTTACCCTGTCCCTCCTCAGTTCCAGGAGAGCTGCTTTTTTGCACTGTCCTTGGTAGCAGTTGGTCAGGCAGGGAGAAGGAAAGTCACTAGGTGGTTATACCTCAGAGTAATCACCGGAGGTATTTATTTGGCGCCAGCCTGCTCTACAAACACTGCTTTTTAATCCTTCAGCCTGTGGCAGCCAGAATGAGAAGCTCAAAAGGTAGCAATGGTGTCCCTGAGGCTACACCAGACTCTATGTGAAAATGGCAGACACTGAGAGTGGGTTGAGGTAGTTAGTGAAGGAAAAAGATCTAGCCCTGGTTTCTGTTTTTAAATGTCTTTCTCCCTCCAAATGGTGTTCTATTTTTCAGTTCCCAAGAGTAAGGCAACAAAGGGTTGTTGAAGTTCTAGCAGTCCTTCTATGTCTGGGGGAATGGCCTGTAACCACTAAAATGACTCTGGGTCCCAATTCCACCCACACCCCCCTTTCCTCATCAGAGACATGAATTACAATGTGGCTGAAGGGAAAGGGCAAAATGGGCATTTTATTACACGTACTAGAAATCCTGGAGTGATGGTCTTGATACCAATTTTCCAGTTAAATAGGCACTTAAACAATCATCCTTTCTAAGTCTTGAGCAAGAACAGGATCTCTTACATATAAAATCTGGAATAGTCTGTGCCTTGTAAATGCTTAGTCTCACTGGAAAAAAAAAATGTGTGAGGGCCAAAGTCATTCAGGGAGTGTCCTCAGGAGAAGTCATCCTAGATAGGTCCGTCAGTGCAGTGAGGAATCTCTCAGGCCCACAAGGCAATAAGAGCCATGAAGGCAAAACCAGCAGCCACACAGCCATACTTGGCCAGAGGGGCCTCAGGACAAGCCAGCTCCCGGGGCAGAATTTCTAGGAAGGTGACATATAGGAACGTGCCAGCTGATATTCCCTCTAATATAGCCTGGGCTAATCCCTGCGCTGGTCCCGAGGCCCCTCCGGCCACAGTCAGTCCTAGGGCTAGGCCCACAGGGGACATGAGTGCTAATGACAGTATGCAGAGTGTGGCCCACCGTGACCCAGCGCCAGTCTTCAGCAGCCGCAGGCCTACACTGAATGCCACAAGCCCCTTATGAGCCAGAACAGCAACACAGAGCTGTATAGTAGCCGCCACTGTTGTCTGCAGTCCCACGGCTAGACCTTCGAACACGGAGTGAAAGGACAGTGAGAGCAGAAGGATGAGGGCGCGGAGGGGCCCCCGTGAGGGTGAGGGCACAGGTGGGTGCTTGTGGAATTCAAAGGCATGAGTCCCTCCCCATTCCTCTCCCTGTGCTGTTGATCCTCCAGTGTCCCCATGACAGTACTGCAAAGCCAGCGACTCCAGAAGGAAGACAAAGAAAAAGCCCAGGGAGATGACGAGCTCTCCATAGGGATACTCCACCTAGGAACAGAAAAAGGGACCAGGAGTCAGGACGGGAAGGAGATAGGACACTGGATGGACGCGGGACCAGGAGAGAGAAGAGAATGGGAAAATCTGGTGACAGAACAAGAGGGAATAAGGCTGAGCAGGCATGCACAAGTGAGAAAACGAGAGGGGCTGAGGGACAAAATGCCACTTGGGTTAGAAATAAAGAGGCTCCAGGGTAGGAAGGACAGAGTAAGGCAAGAACTTTTTCTGAGGGTCAACAAACGAAGGGTTAGGTTGGCACCTTCTGAGAAGAGATTCCTGGTATTCCTCACATGTCAGGAGGGCATGAAAAGCCCTGGTTCTCTTCTCTCTGCAGATACTTACATAGCTGGAAGCAGCATCCTGAGAAGAGTTTCCCTTACTCCCTGTACTATTCTAGGGAGACAGAAACAGAGATTAGACTGAGTCTGGGGCTGCGCTAGCTCCTGTCCTGCCCTTTCAGCAATCAAGCTTTCCTTAGACACCCAACCTGACCACCTTCCACTCTTCTGTCCAACAGCTGCTGTCCCACGCACCCTCTGTGCCCTGGGCTTTCCCTCTATCGCCCCCAGCTTCTGGTAATCATTCTGGTTATCATTCAGCCCTGTCACTCAATTTCTCTGCTACCCACCTGCACCATGAATTTCTGAATTTCTGATTCAATTCCCCCCAGGGCTTCAGCAGTCATATGCATCAACCCTGCTCCCAGAAAGACACCGGCAGAGACGCAGCCCAGGAGGCTGAGAACTCTGTAGTGATGACCTAGTAAGAAAGCAGAAGTTATCTTTCAGTCAGCAATGAGATAAATGGGAATGAATGAAGAGCAACAGATGGCACCCAATGTCTTTGTGGGCACATGGGAACCCAAGCCAGATGTCAGGAAACGTCTGAGATAAGCCTTAGTGTAAGGGACAGAGATGGAGTAGGGCTGTACCTGTAGCTGCATCCATCTGGAACCATTTGAAGTAGATGGGAGCAAGGCCACAGCCCAGTGTGAGAGCCAGAAGGGCAAACAGGCAGCCAATTTTCACTCCTAGCAGCACCTCCATCTTTGGTGTGTAGGATGAGCACCGGCCTCAGAATGACGAATGCAGCCTGTAGCAGTTGAGGTGTCCAAAGTGGAGTGTTCCCTTGGGTGACTTCCAGGAGACTGCTGATGTCCTCTTTGTCCTGGGCGATCTGGGCTTACACAGCCCTGGCTGCCGCATAGCTGACTAGGGCTCAACCCCAGCCACCAGCCCTCCCCCTATCTGGAGGCCCCTCCCCTGCCACACGCCTTCCTGAGCTTCCAAACCAGAAACTCCAGACTCACTGCCAGGTATAGCTCAGTGAAATTTTCTCTTCAATGCTGTGACTAATCCAAGAGCTCTGAGGAGTCTTAGTTCATGTCTGGGGTTGATCTAACCTCAAATGGGGCAATCTATGGTAGTTACGTCCCAGATAATTTATATGTGGGGCAATTTGGTCCTGCCACAGTCAGGACATTTCATCTAAGGCTTCCACACTCTCTACCCTATCCCAAGTCTTACAGGTGCTGTACTGATACTTGAACTGAACCCTTTCAGAGAGGATTTGGGGCCACTTGAGGGTAGAGAGAGGGGGTGGGGCCGAGCAGAGGGCTGCTATTCTTCTGTGGGAATTAGCAAGCGAAGGGATTCCCCTTTCCTCTAATTCCAGGAAAATAGCTCCAGGCATGGAAATTTCCAGGCGTGAGTGGAGATTCCTAGTGTTACAACATACTGTCACTTTTCTTTTGAGACAGGTTCTCATTGTGTCTAGCCTGGAACTATGTAGACCACCAGGCAGGCCTTGATAAACTCACAGAGACTCACCTGCCTCTGCTTCTCCAGTGCTGTGATTAAAAGCATGGGCCACTATGCCCCACCAGTTACCACTTCTGACTATGCTGCTTCTGTAATGAAGCCCCACCAGTGAAATTGTCCTTTGTTTTTTCTTTTACACTTCCCTTTCCCTAAAGTTTAAAGAAACCCACAAACTTCAAAGAAACAAAAAAGCCAGGCAGAGCACCTTTCTTCCTTTTGGTCAAGATAAGCTGTGCATGTCCCTGTTGCTATTCCTATAATTATCAACTGCTAACCTTGTTGTTTTTTGTCATACAGGACAATTTACAAACTTGATGTGCAGAACCTCAGATTGCTCAATGGCCTACCAGATGTCCATCAGTGACAGGAAATCTAAGATCTTTGATTCTTATCAAAACCTGTGAAGTCACCAACTTGCCCCCTTCCCTTTATAGCTCATAATTATGCTGAGAGAGAGGGGTGGGTGGGACTGCCTTCCTGGTGGGTACCACCCTGACTGTTTGGGGGTTTGTTAGCATTTCCTGATGTGAACTGGGGTTGCTCTGGAAAGGAAACAGGAAGATAGAAACAAACTAAACAGGAGTATTCTGACTAGATCTAGATGAGGGTAGAGATGGAAGGCTTAGTTCTGAAGGGACCAACCTTGAGGGGAAGGAGGCAAACTCCAGGGAGGGCTACCTTGGCAAAGAGACAGGGGTAAAGAAGTCAGCTAACTACTAGTTCCCACTTATGAGGCCCACATAAACATGGGTTGAGACCTGCTGAGCCAGTTCTCACAGGGCCGGAGGTGTCTTACCCTACCACCCTAGCCATCTTTCAAGGAAGTATCTCTGGTAGACGCTGTGAGATCTCACTGAGATCTCAGCATTCTCTTCATTACAGATAGGCCAGGACAACTGACCCCTACATATCTTTAAAGAATCATGAAAATCACTTCTGTTCTTAAAAGATTTATTATTAAAATTTCAAACAACTACAAGCACAGGGGTACCAGCACTCTCTTCCTGGACACCAGGTAGCTTTGGCCTTGGCAGGTGTGATGGGAGGAAACACTGGTTACACATCCTTGTCAACTCTCAGTGGGCTCTTCAGCAGGGGACGGAGGAAACGCAGGTGGATCTATCACAGGTAAAAGGTCTCCCCAGGAGCTGACTCGGGCACAGCGATACAAATCCCTAGAGCACACACGGGAAAGAGGCATTAACATGGGCTGCAGGCTCTTGTTACATTTCCCCAACCAGTCATGTCTCCTATACCTGCCATGCCGACGTGCTGTGACCACAGCATGCTGCATGTTCCCATCTGGACAACAGAGGTGACAATGCACATGGCGAGGCCGTTTAAGGACAGGCTGAGTGATACGGGGCCAGCGGTTAGTCTCCTTTGGCGACCCCCTGGCAAGGATTACTACAGAGAATGTTTCCTCTTTTGGCTTCTTATTCTAAAAAAACATAGGGGTTGTTTAGAGGGAACAAACCTTTTCACTCCCTTTTTACATGCCTAAGTCCTTTCTCATACTCTAGAAATCACATAGAGCTCCACATTATTCCAGGAATTCTCCAGCTCTTCCCACCCCATAT